AGCAATTGTGACTTATTTATGAAACGAATGCGCGAGAAAATATGTTATATAAATTGGAGTTAGATGTGGAATGGGCGGACAGATGAAATGTGACTCTTAGAGGGCATGAATTCACCTTGGATTAAATATGTGTTACACTTCAGTGTATAGGGAAGAAGTATTAACAAGAAGTTGCACGTGCCATGATGTTCTTACACTGAAAACAGGGATATCGATTCGAGTCTCGGATACAATATTTGTTCATTTATTTAGTTATTTGATTGAATCCAAAATTGATGAAGTATAGTTATATAATAAATGTATTATATGACAGCAGGAATCAATGGATTGTCTAGTAAGTATATGCAATAGATGTTTACTCAATTTTAGTCGTATCTACAAAAATATAGAGAAAAACTGATCAAGAGAGAGTGAACTTCATATATAACATTTTTCATCAGAACAGGTATTATGAACCCAATCTACAGCCTTGGCTAGAGTAAACCGCATTTTAATCATTATGATATATACTATATTGATATCTAACATGCTAATGATCTATATCTTTATAATGAGTTCATAATGTTTGGTTGATCGACATAAGATCTGTAATCGTGATGATCTTCTATCAACATTATTAGATCTATCTATCTTGATCTGTCTAACTATATATACACATACATATATGATAATTGTATACATATATGATACAGTGATATTTAAAACGTATATACACAGAGCCTAACCTCAAATTAGAGTGCCGTTAGTCAAACCACAGAAAGGTATATTTTTCAGTTTTGCAGCTTAAATTTGAGTTATCTCAAAAATGTGTTGTATTGCAAAAATTTTAATTTGAAACTAAATAAGTTGCGCGTGGCATGACTTTATTAGATGCCTGACGGCGCTTTTTAGGGTTGCAACTGGCAAACCACTTGAGTTCCTGCTTAAAGCATGTCGCACTCGAAACGCTGTCCATGCCCCCATGGAGTACAATGCTCCATGGGCGGGGAGCAGCCGGGCGAGCCAACGACTGGTTAGAGGTGCAACTTGAATTGGCAACAGACCGAAAGGCGGAACAGGGCACGAAATTGAATTGCGACTTTTTATGCTACCTGACATCTATATATGCATCATTATATATATGCATGTGTGTGAGAGAGCATGTGTGTGTGTGTGTGTATTTGTATAGCGAGACGGGAAGGGCCTTATAATGGCAAACGGGATATTTCATTACATTTGTGCATGCATGACTGCCGACTAGCAGTAGAAGAGGGCGTACCACGCCCACACACACACACACACATAGGGTGACACACACACACACGCACATGCATGCAAAAAAAGGCAACATTGTTGAAATGTGCAAATATTGGCTCAAGTGGCGGCAATAAAAGAGTCGCTCCCGAGTGCCGGTTGGAAGGGATTGGAGGGGTGGGGATCAGAGGGCGTGCTCATGTTTCTATTATGAGATGTGCTTGGCATTCTTTAGGCCAGCTTCTTGCCGTGCGAGGTGCGTACAATTTAACATTGAATTAGGCATGAATTTCTTTTCTTATTTTCTTTTTCTTGTCGTAGCCAATTTCAATTTGGCTCGGGACTCGAATTGCGCCTGACCTTTCGGCAACACACCACGCCCCACACCCAGCTGCCCACGCTTTTTGCATAATTGCAAGCGGTTCGTGTCAACGCCATATTTCACTGGCTGCCAGGGATTTGGATGGATGCGCATAAAAATACAACATAATATAACATGCTTAACCCATGGCTGGGCTCTGCATGTTTCCCTCGCTCGCCCTGTGCTTGACGGCTGTCGGCTGTTGGCTGTTGGCTGCCGGTGGCCGGCGGGGGAGGCGTGGCATGCTTGTGGCTTGTGTGGCAGTTAACTTTGCCGTGACATGTGCGGCAAGCATAAAAGAACCGTAGAATGTCATGTTTGTTGTGGGCCGAACATGACGTCGAGTGGACAACGAAACGATGACGACGACGACGGCGACGACGACGACGACGACTATGACGACGGCTATGACAGCTACAGCATGTGACTCACACTAGCGAGGGGGAGGAAAAGGTGACTGTGTCAACACATTGGTAACTGACACTGGACAACAACTGCCGCAGTTTAGGCAAGGTTAGGGCCAGCTCCTGAAAGTTGAGGCTCATAAGAAACGAAATGAAATGGTATTTAAGGTGGGCCAAGTCGAGCTCAGAGAACTAGAATTGAAGTATGAAGTTTGATGTAAGAAGTATGAAGTATGAAGTATGAAGTATGATGTACGAAGTATGCCTCAGCAGTGCTTTTAGTCTGTTTGTAGCAACAACTTTGCTGAACAGTGTAAAATTTTGCGAAGGTAAAATTTAATTGCTTGACCGGCAAGAAATTTTCCCAAAAATTTTCAGTTGGATGAGCTTTAAAATATGCGCCTTTTGTTTGTCCAACAAACGTTTAATTTTATATATACTTTATGTATATGTGTGTGTGTGTGTGTGTATATATATTATGTGTATATTTAGATATATATTAAATGTTATAAGGCCGTTGGTATTCCACGCACTTTTTCACATTTTCACAAACTTTTCTTTGCTTTGCTTTGACATTTCGGTTCTGCTTAGATTTTCTCTTTGCTATTTTTTGTGCCCTAAACATTTAATTTGCGCTGCTTTTTCAGCTTGGCAATGAAAATGTGGAAAATGTATTTTTAAAAAGTTCAGAGCAAGAAACGCGAGGACGGATTATCTTCTTGTCTTGTTGTTGTTGTTGTTGCTGTTGCTGCTGTCGCTTTGCTCTCTTTTTGCTGGCTGCGTATTTAAATTTAATATTCGTTTTCCACTTTTGTTTGCGGCAAATGATTTAAAAATAATTGAAGACGTCGTGCGAGCCATTCGCAATGATTTATTTATGGGCACAGTTGATAGATTTGATTTCGCATTTGCAAGCGCGTCCCATTGAATGCGGCGACCCCTTGAATTAATTAGGCTGCGATGAGTGGGAGCCTCCTAGGCGTGGGAGTGAATGCCATCCAAGCCGGAGTGCTGCTGCCTCGCCCGCCTGCGACTTGACTTCTGCTCGCCTCCTTTCGCATCCCCTCCGCCTGCCACACGCCAGCCAGCCAGAAGCATTTTGCCCTAATTTTACTTTCTGCGATGTTATCAGGACACGCCGCACACTGAGACACACACACACACACACACACGCATACAACTATGCTGACAACGACAGCGACAAAGCCCACACACAAAGCGCTGAAGCAACGAAGCGATTTCCTTTCCATTTCCATTCCCGTTTTCCTTTATATATATATATTTTTCCTTTTTTAAATTGTGCCCGCCCACTTTTCGCTGCCCACAAACAATGTCATAATTTACGCACTTTTTCATTTGTTTGTCGTTTGACTGTGCTGCATGGTTAACATTTTATTGGGTCCACGTTTGGGTGCTCGCTCGCGTCGTCGCGTCCTGCTCTGCGGTTCGCCTAATGAAACTCGAATGGAGCAAACCTCAACCGAAACTGTGGCAGAGCCCCAAGCAACTGCCGTCAACTGTTATCCGTCTGGCCGCGAGCAACGCACGTCCGTGCCGGGAAAATATCTACAACGAACTGATGACAGCGACAACTACGTCTACGACTGCGAACACGGCGACGTCTTGCGCCGGACACAGAGCAACGAGCAACGAGCACGGAACACGGCGCACGAAGCACGGATTGCGTCGTCGTCGTCGCTTCGTGCGTTGCTGTCCGTGTCTATTTATTTCAGTCAGAGACTAAGAGAGACCCACACAGAAAGAGAGAGAGAGAGAGAGAGAGGGAGTGAAGCGGTGTATAGGGAGAGAACATGTTGTGTTCTCTTTGAATACGCACAGTGGGGTGAATTTGGACATATAGATCTATTTGGTAATGATATGATACAATGTGACTTATGTAGGCATTGATAGTTTTAGATGTTTAGATTTTTATGTACTCAATTGAATCTCTACTATATTCGACAATTAAGCATAACTTTGATCATGTTCAAGACAATGAATGTTCAATATATAATATTAATGTAGCCCTGCAACCTTTCGGAGGTATGAAGTTAAAAAAGAGTGTGACAAGTATTAGAAAAGGTAAAACAACTTAAAGCTTGAGAGATCTATAATTATTTAACTAAGTCAGCTGCTCAAATTTCAAGAAAAGTCCTAATTAAATTTGCTGATTTAAAATTCCTTGTGTAAAATTTCTCAATATAGCGCCCCATTGCTGCCCGATAATCTGATTAGGCCTGAGAAAAAACACATCTTGTTTGCTTTAAAGTTTGACTGTAAAATTGCTCTCTTCAACCTTTCTCTTTTACTTTACGCATGCGCGCACTTTCCTCTCTCTCTCTCTCTCTCCCTCGCTATCTCACTCTTATACCTCCCTCTTTGGGCGCATAAACAACAAACAGCCGCAGCTTGTTAAAGGCGGCTCGTTGCACGTTTTCGCATTGTCTGTCCCAGAGGAGGTCGTGACTAGCCCTTGCCGGCGGCGTGCAGCTGGACGGCTCAACAGCTGGACGAGCGGAGAGATAAGCAGACAGTTCCCTCAAGCATTCCCCCTATCGCTCTCTCTTTCTTTGGCAGGCACAGTATTCAGCTCTCCCTCTCTCTCTCTCTCTCTCAGTTTCGCTTGACTTGTTCAATTCTGGAGCATTGTCAAGCAGTTCCAGATGATTATAAGTTGTATTGGCATTAGTTGTGTTTAGCTGCTTGGCAGACGACAGATGGGTGCATTCTGAGGGGGGCAAGTAGAGCAGAGCGCGAATGTAGAGCAGGAGAGTGCTGAAAAGAAAGCACGAGCGAGAGAGAGAGAGAGAGAGGGAGGGTGGGGTGCGGAGAGTAAACACTCGTGTTGACAGGCACTTTCAATTTTATTTGAGCGCATTTTTGTGGCCAATATTGAGCGTTGCTCATACGCACCGTTGCACCGCCTGAAATTTTCACACATTAATCGCACTTAATAATGCTTATACATATATTTAATGGGGTAATTTGTTTTTATTTTCTTGTTTCTTTTTACATTCCTACGATCTAGACGAACGTATAATTTAAATTGGTTTACTAGCTAAGCATCAACAAGAACTTGAACTTAACCGAAATTGTTGTTAAATTATGTTGAAATTTTGGGTTCGTATGTGAATTAGATTAATACATGCACAGCACAGCACTGCAAAATTCAGATGCCCTTACACACTTATCAACTAGCGTACACTACGCAACATAACAACTAAATTTGTTTTGTTTCTGCCAACTAAACGATTTGCTTTGTGTGCCGCATGTCGTATGCTTGATATCCTATATATATGTGTGTATATACGAAGATACGAATGTTTATGCAGATGTGGGATGTGGAAAGTGCGGTCGGGCTGTGCTCCATCAGACGGGCTGCACCTCGCAGACAAAGTAGGTCTCGAAGCTGCAGGGCGAATCGTTCCACTTCAGACCTTTGCCATCGCGATTCCACAGCTCGAGGCAGTTCTCCTCCTCGCCGTTCTCGTAGCGGAAATTGTTTGGCTCGCCGGCATTCCAGTTGGTGAACGTGATGGGCCGGCCCGTGGCCATCCAAAAGTAGTTGCCCTCGTCGGCCAGATCTGTGCCAGATATCCAGAAATGCTCGTGCCCCAAACCTGTGAACGAGTTGTGCGTTTTGCGTTTTGTTAGTGCCAACAGACAAGGGGAAACAGCAAAAGTTTTACAGATTAAGGCGTTTTGAATAGTCACTAATGGGCGTGGCTGTCTACCTGCCCACCTGTCCAACTGCCCAACGGGCCATTCACTTTTTCGAGTTCGATGTGGAAAGTGCAGCGAAATTGAATGCCTCGCCGCATTTGTAGTCCATTGTCCGAGTCACCACTTGCCCCTTGCCCCCCTGCCAACTCTTCCCTTTGTCAGCTTTGGGTTACCCACTTCCGCGTATTATGCACGCTAGAAAGTCAAAGCCCCACGTTTTGCATTCAAAAACCAGTCCAAGTACTTAACCCAGGTCTCAGCTATTCCATGACTTTTCTTCTTCTTCTACTACCTTTACTACTACTTCGTCTACTTACCAAAGTCGCGTATGTGTTTCTCCAGTCTATCGTTCTCTTCCTGTGATGAAATGCTAGCCAAGTGCATGCCATGGTAGCGACAGTATTGCGTGGCTTTGAACCAATTCGCCTGTTAGAGAGAGAGAGAGAGAGAGACGAGTTGATAAGTATTTGAATACCCTCTAATCATGCTCAATTCTGGTGTGCCCGGGAAATGTATATATGTTCCATTCAACAATCATGATTTCCTTGCAATAAATATAGACGACATATTTTTATTTTTTGCCATAAATTCTCAAAATATATCTTAAAAATTAGCATAACTATTTTGAGCTGAGCTGAGCTCTTTATGTTTATTATCTTCAAGCCTTAGCCAACCTGTTTGCAAGCCAACTGGTTCGAGATGAGCAGCTTGAGTTATGCTTCTCAGCTGCAGCCAGAATGCTGAAGCTCAAAGTAAACTTGAATTAAGATTCAAACATATTTAATTGTTTGATGTTTGGCATTGTTATCTTTAAATTTAATTTCTATTGACTATCAATTAAAATAATTGCCATGAATTAAGCATGTAAGAATGCTGCTAAGTGTCTATTTATGGGTAGTTCTTGCCTACCCCACTGAAGTCTCTATAGGGTAGCTGCGATAAGCCAAACTTGTTGGCAAACTCTGAGGAATGTGCCTAAAGAATGTTCAACATTCAGCATGAAATGCATGTCAGGGAAGCACGACCCTTAACACCTTTGGCAAAAGTGGGGTTGGAGTAGGAGGCAAGGCGTAGGTGCAGAGACGGTGCTCTGATGCTACCGCTTTCTTTCTTTTGCTCATATGGCAAACTAATTGACTTCTAGGCGTCAGTGGAGCGTACTTTTACAGCCCAATAAACACTTTCAGTAAGCGTGCCACATACACAACAACAACAAGGATGACAGCTTTCTCGTCACTCCGCGCCATGGGTGCAAGAGAGAGAGAGGGAGAGAGGGAGGGAGAGGATGGCAATAGCGTCAGGATGCTGCGTCAGTTTGCGCTTTATTCGCGCACAATTACGGCTAATACAATTAAAGCAAAGTTAATGACGACGTCGATGTCGACATGGTCGGTAGACCGCAGAGCCAGCCAGCCAGCCAGCTAGGCAGCCAGCTAGACAGAGAGGGCTAAAGGACGCGGGCAAAGTGCTGCACGTGGTAGTTGCGTAATCGATTTAGATGCGCATCACCTGCTGGTGGCAAAGCACACACRCACACACACCTACACACCTGGAGAGTATAGAGTATAGAGATATGTGTGCGATTCAACAGGCGGTGGGGGCCGTGGGCGTGGCTAATTAGACGTAGCAAGGGGCAGGTGTGTAACCAAAAGCCATTAGCGTTAATTGAATATCAAATTGCAGCTATTGCTATATTGATCTATTGATAGAAATATA